TCACCGGGCCTCGGGAGCGTCAAAAAACGACTCAGGATGCAAGGTCATGGCGAAAGGGTCGAGACCTCTCTGGGGGTCGACGTCATGAAGAAATCATGACGTCGGGGGTCTGTGCTCACCTCTCCGCCGGCAGCAGCGCGGGAGCTTCCCGCGCCGGGTCGCGCGCAGGCGCGCCGCCTCTCCAGAGCCCCTCGCGCTGCGGACACAAAGCGCGGCGGGAGGTTTTTGTTCGTATGTTCTGCCTCTGGGAGCCCTGATACTCGTTTTCCACCACCACCACACCACCATAAGTTGGAGGGGGGAAGAAAGATGGAGGAGGAGGAGGAGGAGGAGGAGGAGGAGGAGGAGGACACCCTCCCCCTCCAACTTATGGTGGTGGTGGTGGTGGAAGACCAGACCATCAGACCTCGGGACCGTCAAAAACAAGTCGATGAGGATGAAAAACCAGTCCCTGGGAAGGGGTCGAGACCTCCGGGGGTCGACGCTTTGGGGAAAAATCATGACGTCGAGGGTCTGGGCTCACCTCCGCCGACAGTGGCGCGGGAGCTTCCTGCGCAGGGTCGCGGGCAGGCGCCCCCCTGTTGCCAACGTGGCGTGCCGCGCTGGCGGCCCGCGTCAGCCACCTCGTATAACGCGCAAGGTCGCTGTGTCATCGTGCGTCAGACCCGCTTCCTTACATCGCTCACCCAGGCATCTGGCCGCTCCACTTTCTTCGATGCGTGGGCCCCGGAGGTCTGGACCACTTCCCTATATAGGCCCGGTTTCTCGTCCTGAGTCGTTCTTTTGACGCCCCCGAGGCCCCCAGAGTCCGAAAACCCGACAAACCGCCCGCTCCAATTGTTGACGCTTCGCGTATCCCCACCATCGGCCTTCTCCAGGCATTGACCCGAACCCCCTCAGCGGCGTACAGTCTGGCCCGCGTTCCAAGTGAGTGAGTGGTTTTGGCACGTTCTGCCTGGCAGTCTGACCCCACCTGCGGGTCCGGCCTTTCCACCCTCCCCACTTTCGCTGGCACGCGCTAAGCGGCTTTTGGGTTCCGCGTGGTGACGCCAGGGCTTCAGCTGGTATCTTCTCATTTGCCTCTTTTGCTGGCACATGTCCAGCGTTGTTAATTATCTGGCGCCTTCGCGGTTGCCTCTTCGGCCGGCACTTGTCCTGCGCCGTTAGTTATCTGTATTCCCGTGCGCTGTGCCCCAGCCTCGTTCACACCGCCCTCTGGACTTTTCCTTGCGGGCCGCGAATCAAAAAAAGTGTCCCCACCAGTTTTATGTTCTTTGGTTGCCCACCTGTGGCCGCCTCTCTTCCTAATTTGTTTTTGCATGTGCATTCCGTGCGTCTCGCGCCAATTATCGTGCGCTGTGCCCCAGCCTCGTTCACACCGCCCTCTGGACTTGTCCTTGCGGGCCGCAAATCAAAAAGTATCCCCACCAGCAGACCGCCCTCTGGACTTCTCCTTGCGGGCCGCAAATAAAAAACATATCCCCACCAGCCCATCCAGAAACGATGCCCAGGGGAGTTGAGGTGATCAGGGAAGTCGGGGAGCATGCAGAATAACAAAGGGCGGGGGAAGCTGCCACGCACCCCAAGAGGGGGAGGATGGAGAAGGAATCCTCGTCGGAGGGGGAGGGGGAGGAAGAGGAGGAGGAGGAGGAGGAGGAGGAGGAGGAGGAGGAGGAGAATGAGGAGGAGAATGTGGAGTAGGGAGAGGACGAGAAGGAAGAGAAGGAACAGAGGGAGGAGAAGGAGGAAAAGGAGGAAAAGGAGGAGGAGGAAGAGGGGGATGATAAATTGAAGGGGACGGCGAACCGAAGAGTCCGAAGCGTCTTAAATGCATTTCGGAGATCCTCTTGAGGCTTCTTGGGGGTCTCTTGGGAGCCTCTTGGAGGCCTCTTGGGCGCCTCTTGGGGCCGTCTGGGCGCCTCCTGGGGCGCTCTTGGGGCGCTCTTGGGGGCTGTAGGGGCGCTCTTGGGGCCATCTTGGAGGAGATCGATCAACGAAGGGGGGTTCCCTAATTAGCCCCCCCCTCAGGAGCTCCAAACATTCCCTCTTGGGGCGCTCTTGGGGCGCTCTTGGAGCGCTCTTGGGCGCTTTTGGGGCCGTCTTGGGGCTCTCTTGGGCCTCTTGTGGGGCCCTCATGGGCCATCTTGGAGCCATCTTGAGGCCTTGGATGGCCATCGGAAGCGAAACGGGGAGAAAGCGAAAAACATTGATGTTCCTAAGGTTTTGGGACGATTTTGGCCTCTTCGGGGCCTCCTTGGGGAGCTCTTTGGCCACAAGGAACCGTCTTGGGGCCGTCTTTGGGCCTCTTGGAACCATCTTAGGAGCCATCTCGAGCGATCTTGCGCTATCTTGAGCCATCTTGGAGCTCATCTTGGGCTCTCTGACGCGCTCTTGAAGCCATCTTGGGGCCACAGGAGCCGTCCGACCGCTCGCGGAACCCTCCGTCCAGGTCCAGGGGAGGGGGTAGGGGGAGGGGTAAACCCCCCCCAGGGGGAAGAGGGAGGGGTGGAAGAGGATCTGTTCTAGACCACCTACGCCCAGAGGGCTGGTGGGATTTTTTGGGGGGGGCGTTGGATCTCTGGGAACGCGCAGGGTCGCTGTGCCATCCTGCGTCGGACCCGCGCCGCCTCGCCGCTCAGGTCGCTGCAGTCCGAGGCCTGGGGCGCCGCGCTCTCCGACGGGCTGCCCATGGGCGCCTCCGCGCTGGCCTCGCCGCCGAGCCAGCCCGGCCCCCGGGGCTTCGGCCCGGGCCGGCGCCTCGCGGCCTTCCCCGCCGCGGGCGGCGCGCACTTCGCGAACCCCTTCGACTCCGGCTTCCTGCCGCCGGGCAGCCCCCCCGGCAGCTGCGGCGGCGCGCCGCCCGCCGCGGGGAGCGGCGCGGCGCCCTCGGCCGACGCCGCTGCCGGCAGCGGCTGGGAGGGCCCCGCCGCCTGGGGCACGCCGGGCCCGGGGTCGGTCGCCGAGCCAGTGGCGCCGCAGCCGCAGCGCTGCGAGCCCTCGCCTCCCGACCACCACGGCCGCGGCCTCCTCCCGCACCCCGGCGCGGCCCGGGACGCACCTCCGCAGCACTACCCAGGCCCGCAGGACGCACCTCCGCAGTACGACCACCACGGCTGGCAGGACGCACCTCCGCAGCACTACCCAGGCCAGCAGGACGCACCTCCGCAGTACGACCACCACGGCTGGCAGGACGCACCTCCGCAGCACTACCCAGGCCCGCAGGACGCACCTCCGCAGTACGACCACTTCCAGCTGGACGCACCTCCGCAGCGCTACCGAGGCCAGGACGTCCCGCCCCAGCCTCAGCACTTCGAGCACCCCGGCCACCACCGGCCCGGCCACCAGCAACCGCACCACCACCATGGCCACACCCATCCCCGCCGCTCTCCCCCCCAGCCCCAGCACCCGAGCCCCACATCAGGGCAGGCCGCACCGGCCGTCAGCATCGAGATGGTCGCGCCGATCGTGAAGACCATCGTGGGCACAGAGATTCAGCAGCTGCAGCAGGAGCTGAGAGGCCTCAGGATGGGAAAAAACACACAGACACAACGAATCGTCGATCCCCCAGAAAGTGTGGGAGAATATAGGAAGTGGGGAGGGGACGACGCAAGTCCAACTAATATTAGAATATATATATATATATATATATATATAAGGAATCCTGGGACTTATGCCCCTTCAAGCCTTCAAGGCCTGTACTCGGAGATGCGGGAGCTCAGCGACGACTACCGCAAGCTGCGGGCAGCGAAGGAGGCGCCAGACCCCCAGGCGGAGAAGGCGGGCGAGCTCCTCAAGCTCAGGACCACCGTGGCCGACCTGCAGGAGACGCTGGCCCACACGGTGACCAGCGCGCTCGACGAGCGGCTCCGGACCGCAGAGCAGGGCAGGGAGGAGCAGCTGGCCTCCACCATCTCCTCCGTGCTCGACGCGAAGCTCGGGCTTGCGCGCGCGGAGCCGCCGGGCGCGCAGGGCCTGCCCCCCGCGGCCTCTCTGATGGGCAGCGCCCACCGCGCGCTCATCGGCTCCCAGCTGAGGGGGAGAAGCACACAGACACGGACGCAAGCGTCGATTCCCCCCCCCGGAAACTGTGGCAACGTATGCGGGAAGTGGGGGAGAAAGACGAGGACCCAGACCCCCGACATCATGATTTCTCATCCCCAAAAAGGTCCCGACCGATTCCCCGGGACGGGTTTCTCATCCCGAGTAGTTTTTGACGGCCCCGAGGCCCAGGGAGGGCTCCCAGAGGCCGAACACAGCCAAAAACCTCCCGTCGTGATTGTTTCATGACCCGAGGGGGTCTGGGAACCCAGACCATATGGGAAGATAAGGGGAATTCCGGGATTTGTTCGGCGGCAAGCGAGGGGGTGATCAGTGAGAAGGAGCAGGCCTTCTCAGAAGACGGCGGGACTTCTCAGAAGCCCCCGCGCCTTCTTAGAAGTGCTCCGTGTGTTCGGGGAAGGCTGAGAACACTCCTCGGAAGGCTGCAGGGGGGCTTCCGAGCCTTCTGAGAAGGCCCGCCCCTTCTCCCTTCCCCCCGGGGCTCGCCGCCAATGTGTCCTCCTCCTCCTCCTCCTCCTCCTCCTCCTCCTCCTCCACTCCTCCTCCTCCACTCCTCCCCTCCAGCTCCTCCTCCTCCTCCCTCCTCCTCCTCCTCCTCCTCCTCCTCTCCTCCTCCTCCTCCTCCTCCTCCTCCTCCTCCTCCTCCTCGTGCCCACTTCTTGGTGTTCCCCGCGGCCCCCTCCGAGGCTCCCGGCCCGCGGCGCCGCCGAGCGGCCCCGAGCCGCCCGAGGCGGCCGGCGGCGGCGCGCAGCCGCTGCCCGCGGGGGGCCCCGCGGCCGCGGCGGCCCGGGGGGGAGGTTCGAGGGTTCGACTCGAGCCTTCGAAGGTTCGACTCGAACCTTCGAAGGGGTTCAACTCGAACCTTCCAAGGGGTTCAACTCGAGCCTTCAACTCGAGCCTTCGAAGGTTCAACTCGAACCTTCGAAGGTTCGACTCGAACCTTCGAAGGGGTTCAACTCGAGCCTTCAACTCGAACCTTCGACGGTTCGACTCGACCCTTCGAAGGTTCGAATCGAATCTTCCAAGGGGTTCAACTCGAGCCTTCAACTCGAACCTTCGAAGGTTCGACTCGAACCTTCGAAGGGGTTCAACTCGAGCCTTCAACTCGAACCTTCGAAGGTTCGAGGGATCGATGATACGGAATTGAGTTGCAGAGCTTACAGGCTCGATCGACGAACGTGCTACGTATGACTCGACGAGAAGAGTTCATTCTGGGGTGAAAATCATCGGCGTCACCCCAACATACTTCTACTATGTATGCGTCGCCCCCCTCAGGGGCAACGCGCGCACCGAGAAATCTTATAGTATGTGCGTCGTGGCGGGCGCTTTCTGGCCACACCGCCTGGGAAACGATATGCGTCAAGATGGGCATACTATATGTCCGGGTCGGACGCGCACCTCCAAGGAGGACGTATAGTATCAGTATGCCTCTGCGTGTCCCAAGCCAATCCTGCAGCCGGTCCCCCTGCTCGAAGAGCGGGGCCCGGCCCCCCCAGCGCGCCGAGGCCCCGCGCGCCTTTCGGGGAGTCGCCGCACGCCCGAGGGCCGGCGCCTCCCCAGCTCCCCTCGCGCTGGGGAAAAAGCACGACGAAGGAGGAGGACGAGGACGAGGAGTTGGAGGAGTTGGAGGAGGAGGAGGAGGAGGAGGAGGAGGAGGAGGAGTTGGAGGAGAGGAGGAGGAGGAGGAGACGAGGAGGAGGGAGGAGGAGGTGGAGGAGGAGGAGGAGGACGAGAGGAGGAGGAGGAGGAGGAGGACACGAGACGAGGACGAGGAGGAGGACGAGGACGAGGAGGAGGAGGAGGAGGACGAGGAGGAGGAGGAGGGAGGAGGAGGAGGAGGAGAGAGGAGGAGGAGGACGAGGAGGAGGAGGAGGAGGAGGAGGAGGAGTAGGAGGAGCAAGGGGGGGAAGTAAGAAGGAGGAAGGCCTTCTTCAGCAGGCGGCGGCGGCAGCGGGGCTCGCCGGCGGCGAGCGACCCAGACCCCGTCGGGTCATGTAAAAATCACCACGGGAGGTTTTTGTGGCTATTTTCGGCCTCCGCGGGGGCCCTCACCGGGCTCGGGGAAGGGCCAATCGGGATGGCAAACCGATCCCGGGGAACGGGTCCAGACCCTGCTTTCGCGCTGCGAAAAAAGAAAACGCGACGGGAGGTTGTTCCGCATGTTCGGCCCCTGGGAGCCCTTAATGATACCTGACCTCGGGGCCGTCAAAAACCGACTCGGGATGAAGAGCCGGTCCCGGGGAATGGGTGCAGACCTCTGGGGGTCGACGCTGCGACAGAAATCACAGCGTCGCGGGCGCCGCACGTTTCGGGGAGTCGCCGTGCCCTTGAGTCGGCGGCGAGGCTGGGGCGGAAGCGGGACGGGGCGGGCCTGCCCAGAAGGCTCGGAAGTCCCCTGCAGGCTTCTGAGAAGCTTCCCGAGCCCTCCCCGAAGACACGGAGCACTTCTCAGAAGGCGCGGGGGCTTCTGAGAAGTCCCGCCGCCTTCTGAGAAGGCCTGCTCCTTCTCACTGATCACCCCCTCGCTCGCCGCCGATCGAGGGCCCGCGTCTCTGGAGACGGAGACTGGCAGGATGACGCTCTCACGGTAGGCTCGCGCGGCTTTGGCGCGCCGGCGACGCCGGCGAAGGCGTTCAGGGCTCAATTATGCAACGCGGACGCGCCGATGGACACGGTAACGCCGCTGGACCCGACTGAATGAACCCTCGAACAATCGGGGCCGCGATCGATTCAAGCTTGAACGATCGGCGCGGCGTCGAAGACTGTTGCGCGCGCCGAAGCCGCACGACCCTACTGTATGTAGAGCATCGGGCGGTGGCCACGCTGGAGCCGCGAGCCGAGGGATCGGGCGCGCGCGTGCGATTTGCTGGGGTTTTCGAGCGTGAAGCCTCGAGAGCCCATCCGAAAGCCTCGAGCTCTCCGAAAGCCTCGAGCTCCCCGAAAGCCTCGAGAGCCCCCCCCCGAAAGCCTCGAGAGCCCCCCCGAAAGCCTCGCGCTTCCCGAAAGCCTCGAGAGACCCCCGAAAGCCTCGAGCGTCCCGAAGGCCTCGAGAGCTCCACGAAAGTTTCGGGCGCCCTCCTGAAAGCCTTGAGCTCCTCGGGAGACACTCGAAGCGCTCCCGCGAGCCTCGAGCGCTCCTGCGAGCGTCGAGACCTCCTCCTCCTCCTCCTCCTCCTCCTCCTGCTCCTCCTCCTCCTTTTCCTCCTCCTCCTCCTCCTCCTCCTCCTCCTCCTCCTCTTTCTCCTCCTCCTCCTCCTCCTCCTCCTCCTCCTCCTCCTCCTCCCTGCAAGCCCGCCGAGGCGGGGCCCCCCAGCCTGGATTGGGTCGCGCTGCCCGCGCGCGCCGCGCCGCCAGCCTCGCCGCAGCCGCCCGGCGGCGCGCCGCAGGCGGCCGCAGCGGGGCTCGGCCAGGGAAAGCTCGCCGGCGGCGAGCGGGGGGGGG